ACAAGTAAAAGGCAATTAGGACCGTCTCGGTGCAATGATTTTCCGGTCCATTGCTTGAATTTTTCTGTATGAGTTTGCTGGGGAAAGCTGCGGCCATCCTCGAGCTGCCGAACAATATTGCAGGCCTTCTCCCAGCTCATCTTCTCCTCATCGTTTGTCAACAGCGTTGCACAAACCTGTTTGTAACGGATACCGGCTATTATGCACCCTAAAGTCATCTCCCCTTCCAACCTCCTGGCTGGGATTTCACTACACAGAAACTGGTAGGGCTTGCTGAATCCGCTCAATGAACTCAATAATCATATCGTCCGGGTTTTGACGCAAGGTAAAGAAAAATAGCGCGTAGTATGGGTGTTCGGTTGCTAAACTTTAACCCGCTGAGAACTAGCGCGCTGAAGACTGTCGCCTTTTCGCCGACATGGCAGGGAGCTAAATGTCTTGCCTTATTCATCAGAGCGTTGCCACAGTAATTTAATTTTGTGGATCTCTGCGAGTACCGTACTTGGTTGCAAGATGCTTGGTGGCTTCAAATAAGCCAAAAAGTAAGTTACCAGCGGTTTCGAGTCACCGGTGTCGGTTTAGTAAAAGCAATATCCCAAAGCAATTAAGTAAATAAAGTAAATGGTATCTTCCTAGGCGTCAGCTTGAAGCTGTGCCCGCAAGGGACCAGATCATTTTGTATCATAGTTCCATGCTCTTGCGTGAATCAAACACTACTACTACTACTACTTCCTAAGTGCCAAGGTGTGAGTTACCACAGTTTGATAGTTGTTACGGTATAGCATCGTCGGACATCCCATTGAAATTCGTGCATACTTCATCTATAGATTTCCTTGAGCTTTTGTTGTATTCATTGGAACCAAATACAAACGGGCGTTTTTATATATATTTCATGATAGGGGAGGCCGGTGCCCTAGTTGATGTAACTGATTCCATTTTCAGCGGAGTATTTCTGCGCATACAGATGTTCCGATTTATGTCACGCGCATGGAAGAGAAAAGGAGCAATGCAGGCATAAGGGGTAAGAGAAGGTTAAAATCAATCTTCCATACATTAAATAGAAGGATTAAATGTTTTGCAATGTAGACTTAATAGTGGCGTAAAGTGCTAATAACATTTGCAAATTAAACAACGTTTTCAATGTCGCAGCTTAATAAGTGACCATTAGTAACCCAACGCTGAGCTAACAGAAGTAATTAATGAAACCAGGTTTTTATGTTAATTGTAGTGTACATTAGAAATCTAATGCGCCAGACTTGGTAAACCTTGAGCTCTTAATATGCTGCATAAATGTGAATGAAAGATTCACAGTCGTTTGCACGTTATTTGGTGACTGCGTGAAATGCCATTATATTTCCATGCTAAAACTGGCACACTTGTTTCCCAGCAAATACAGCGTACAAGAGAAAGAAAAGGGCATATAGATTGACGTTATCTGTTCTAAATACGTATATGTACCTAAAACTTGGCAAGTGGTTTAAAATTACCAGTACTTATTAGCTGCGACGTTGTGGGCCGAAAATCGGATTTTCTAAGCATACACGATAATAAATAGAAAAGATTGTGTGTAAATGACGTTAAACGTTAAGTTGCCTTAGCACGATGTTACTGACACTCGACACTTTTGGACGTGGCATAATTAATCCTAGGTTAAAAGGTCTCATCTTTAGGATTCTCGTGGATACGGTGCGTTGCAAAGCACTATAAAGCTGGGAATGACAATTTTAATAACGCTTAGTAGTGGCGACTATGGCTGAAAATTTGCAGAGCATCGTTCTGTATGCATTAGCCCGGACAACACGTGCTTCAGTCAGCCTAAATCAGTCTATCGATGGTTTACCTTTTCAAGATAGATAATGCGAGGTTTATGACTACATACAATTTTTATATAAGCACCGAAATAGGGATTTCTCTAGTGACAGACATCAGAGAAAGGTGGAACCTTGCGGTAGCTTAACCTCGTTATCATCAACTTAAGTTTGGCGCTTAGCCGATAGACTGAGCAGAAGGCGCCGGCCTGGTATGGAACCGTTTACCAAAGGCTTTCTCCGCTACAGTGGCTAGAACTGTCGGAAAGAAAAGCAATGAAATAAGGAATGTAAGGCAAGGTCTTTGTCAACCGATTATGTGTCGCTACTATTCACGATGCAATACCCAGCTGCTTGCGGAACCGTTAGGCGGAGCCATCCCTCTGATTCCTTTACGTCGAAAGCATTTTTGGCCTTAGTCACCTTTTTCAGTACTGCCTTCTTCAACCCTGTTTGCATTCCGTGCCATTTATGCACGTTCTACTCACACGTGCATCAGTTGCACTCATTGCTGCGTACGCCCCCTTATCTTCGCCGCTCAATATACTTAGCTCTTGGCACCGTAGCTCCTCATCATGGGCTACATAGCAATAAAACGCACTGCTGACTACCTACATTGTTTTCACCGGGCTCACGGCTACTCATGAATTGTCTCTAGTTTTAAAATTACCTTTCCACCCAGCTAGCTACTATTAACTTCGCCGTGGGCTCCGCTGCACCTTAACTGCACACTTAGGCGGAAAACCCTCCATGTTCATCCTATCTCACCTGATGGTATTTATGCTAATCAAACAAAGGTCCCTTGCAACACTGGATCCTGTCATGTTTCAGATTGCGTTGCCATTCGTCAACACACCAGTCCATTGCCCAATGTCTCTCCCTGTCACCTGACGTTCAGTGTATCAATGTATACACTGCATGATAAGCCTTATGTAATACAATTTCCTTTAACAACAACATACTTCTGGCGCTCAGCCATATCTACAGTATTGCTAAAAATGCATCTTCTCAGTCGTTTCTATGGCATAATTTCTCGGCCTTTTTCTTACTCATCTATATGTCTAGTTAAAATTGTTTAATACAGTGGATTCGCTTAGAGACCTTACCTGTAATACTCACCTGACCTATGGTATACGCTCCCGAACGGTTAGTAAGACGGTTAAACCAGCAGTGCCTTAAATAGGGAATGCAATACAACTTACTTCCCACTCATCCAATTCACGAGGAAAGCAGCATTAGAAAGAATAAAATGTCAAGAAGAATAGATGCAACGGAAGACTTCCCAGCGCTCGCTGGTATGCCAAAGGAATCCAAGCTCCTGAGACTAGGAAAGCAAAAGGAAAAGTGCCACGGGCGACTGCGTTTACTGGTGCCAACTGTTGGTTTGCTGGCAACAAAATGTCGAACGCAATATCAGTTAGGCACTTATGAGCGTGCCTAGTTGCAATGCAAGTGTAACTGTCGGACCAGTTAACGGACCACACGAGCGAAAAACACAAATACAACGCTATATATGTGGAATAAACAAAAGGCTTGACACAAATAAAAGGTTGGTAAAGCGAATTCGGTGCACAGTCACTGATCTAGCACACTCACCATCCGTCATGTAACAATTGCAGTGTACACTCTATATCATGAGCCGGATGTCGCAGTTCGGATGGGCTTAGACAGTTTTAACGTCTAAACGAGTCGTTTCCGAGAACACAACTTCGACTCGTACAATCGAATCGCGATGGTCTCCGCGGATTCAAGCAAACGTCTACAAACTCGCTTTTGTCGATCGTCTGGTACCTGATAAGTCATCTGGTATGACTCGGCCAAATTGGTGGCGTGGCCAGTGTCAGCGCGATGTGTGGCTATGGATGGGTTGGTTTGTTTTCGACCAGCTTTCATGAGTCAAGCCGGATGGTGTTCTTACACCTTCTCAGACAGGCGCCTCGTCGTTCGGCCTATTTACCAACACATTATATCACAAAACTTTACAAATGTCCTCAGGTGCATTGTTATAACAAATCGTAGCTCAATTTATCATTGACGCGTTGTTTTTACAGTACTGCTCATGCCTTCTTTGATTTGCCTCCGTAAAATCGATACCATACCTTATCCTATATTATGTCACCTTCGGCGTACACAGGCTCGGGCTTCACGATGGGAAACAGATCGAACAAGGAAAACAGCAAAACGTTCGCCGGTATGGTGTCATTCATTACACCTTCTCTGTAAACCACTAAAAGTTGGGTCCTGTGCCGTGGGATTCCCTGTGGAATTATAGTGTTGCAAAGTCATGGGTAAAGTACATGATGACCGTTCGTTTGAGTCATTTAATTGAGCGATCATAGATCTTGTTGGCTGTGTAACTGCATCGGTATGGATAGAGCGCCTGACTCTACGGCTCAACAAATGCTTAGCCTTACCCCAACCAATTGCTAAGAAAAACAATTTTTCACTTGTTCTGGCAGACCAATGACAGCGCTTACCCGTAGGGCGACCGTCAAACGCCTGCTGTAAATATAGCTAAAGTGTTAAACCGTACAGGTGGCTCCATCTAATCCGAGACCACAAAACCGATTGCGGCTGCCAATAGGGGCACAGAGATAATGTCTTAGACATTCTCAGGCGGCATGCCCCAAAATTTACCAACCCTCACAACGGAGACTCCTCCTTTCTTCGCGCTCACTCCCCACCGGCCCCATCCCCCCTCCCTCTCGCCACCTCTCCCTCCTCAAGGCCCCCATTCCCCACCTCCCCCCCCTCACCCCAAAGTTACTCTTTTCCAACAACACCCCCCAATAGAACCTCCCAACAACCCAAATTCCTCTTAACATTCCGCCCTTCTCCCCCTTTAATACACACCACTGACCCAAACTCCCGTACATAATAACTACTAAAACTTCACCTCGGCCCCTTGATACACACATCTCCCCCCTATAAGCCCCCTAATAAAATCCCATCAACACAGACGGTCCCACCATGCTTTGAATGCACCAAGCATCAACTCGATAATGTCAGCAATCCCCCCCACTCATCATGCCCCCAAAACTCATTCCACAACCCCCCTGCTCACAAATATTTACTCAAAATATACATCTCATATCCCTCATTCCACCACATTCCCATATCTATACCCAAACCACTATTACTACACAATCCCACACTTAATACTATCCACTTATTACCATAATAAATTACCCTTCAACAACCTCCCCCCCCCCCCCCCCCACCCCCCCCCCCCCCCCCCCCCCCCCCCCCCCCCCCCCCCCCCCACCCCCCCCCCACCCCCCCCCCCCCCCCCCCCCCCCCCCCCACCCCCCCACCCCCCCACCCCCCCCCCCCCCCCCCCCCCCCCCCCACCCCCCACCCCCCCCCCCCCCCCCCCCCCATCCACCCCCCACCCCCCCCCTCCCCCCCCCCCCCCTCCACCCCAACCATCTCGGCCCAACACCACAATAACACACCACTCAACTCGCACCACACCACACACAACAATTACCAAAACAAACCTCCCGCCCCCCACCGCGTCACGTTGCACACCCCAACCCTCCCCCACTCCCTACCTGTACCCAACCAACCCCCCCCACATACACCACAACCCGCCCCCCCCGCGCCCCCCCCCACCCCACCCAAAATCGATATATCATTCTGTACCTAGACAACAGGAAGCTTGCCGGTTCGCATGATGACTACGTGTGTTTAATTCATCAAGACGAATTGCATTCGCGCGCTTCCAGATTTACCGCCTCGAAGAGCGCTTGCTGCGTCTCGGCTGGCCACTATACATTTCCCATAGCTAGAACCATTTTCCGGTCCCTTCAGCTAGCGGGATTGTACGTTTCGACAATAAATGTATATCTCGCCCAGGTATCCGTCTTTTTCCGACTTCTCATTGAGGCGGGATCAACCTGACATATATCGCGGAATGATTCCGCTATAACTGGTGACCCAGACCAAACGTTGCTAAGCTAGTTACTAAATTTTCTTTTCAGCTTCTTTCTGTTCTGCTGCACGTCAATCCATTTTCAATTTATGTGCATATTTCGGGTTCTATTTGGCTTACTTTGTATTATTTTTCTTCTATGGATACGTGTCACCCAGTTCTCGACGGCCAGCTTGAAAATGTAACCTCCTTCTCTCCACCATTTCGCGAAAGAAATCCAAAAACATGGTTTACTCAGGTAGAGGCACTTTTTGGACTTCGTAACAATAGACCTAAAAAAATTAAATATCCGCATGTAGTCTCCGCGCTTCCTCCACACGTCGCCGATGGTATCGACGATATCTTCGTGTTGTAAGCAGCGAGGACACCATACGGGAAAAGTAATGCTGCAGTTCTGAAAGCGACAGGTCTTTCAGATCGTCAACCCATCACGAAGCTTCTGAGCGAAACGAAGTTAGGTGCCGAAAAGCCATGGCAACCACTGCGAAAGATGCAAAGTTTGGTGAAACCCAACATGTTGGATGACACATTTCTCAAGGATATGTGGCTGCATAGTCGGTTACTATTCTTTACGCACATGCTGCCGCATCCTTGACGCTGACGGCCGATATCGGAGACCACATTTGGGAATCCTACGGCCAGATTTCGCACGATTGATCTGCGCAGCAATACGATATTGCCGAAATGAATGGGTAGGTTGCCGCACACACCAAGAAGTTTATCGATTTCGCGACTTCTGGGAGTAACTGCCGTTGTCGATCTTCAAATTGTCAACGTCCATCTCGAGCAAAATCACCCTTGCAATCACCGCGCCCTGTGTATCCTAATACTGATACCCTCAGTTATTGGACCTGCAGGCCAAATCGTACCGCCCACCGTGTTCCTTCAAACGCAACAGGCAGGGAAACGGGCCGCATAGCACGTAAGAACAACGGACATAGCTGGTCAGCACAGTCGTTTATTCTTCCTCATAGATCGAAAAATGGAAGTTGACTACCCCGTCGATACTGGCGCAGAAGTCAGCGTCCTTCCACGTGATCCCAACGGCGCAACCGGAAAGGAGACTGGTACTCTATGCAAATCCAACGGCACCAGCATCTGCGTTTACGGTTAGCGCTCGTGCACGCTTAACTTAGACCTGCGACACGCTTTTCGATTAGTATTCCTTGTCGCTGACGTCCAACATCCCAGTATCGGGATGGATTTTCTTCAGCACTTTGACTTGTCGACGCTAAACGACCACGTCTCATCGATCAGACAAGGAACATTTCCGTCGCTGGAATATTCAGCGATGTCGCAGCACACAGTCCGGTGTACGCCACTGCCAACACGCCAGCCGGCAAAGCGTTACTTGAAATTTTCCCTGCAGTCTTCCAACCTTCATCTTCTCTGTCAACTGCAGCCGCATTTACGCCGCAGCACATAGTTACCAAGGGTCCGCCCGTCTCCGCCAAGGCTCGAAGAATGATTCTGGACAGGCTCAAAACCGCCCTTTCAGTATTCAAGCACGTGCTGGAACTTGGGATCGTCCGAACATCCAGCATTTCATGGTCTTCGCGCCTCCACATGTTCAAGAAACAGTCAGAAGACTGACGACCATGTAGCGATTACCTCATCCTCAACAACGTGACAATTCTGGATCATTATGATGTTCTTCACCTACAATATATTATATCCGGTCTACATGGCACTCGCGTGTTCTCAAAGATCGATCGGATGTGAGCTTATCATCAGATTGCGCTAGCCAACGATGGTATACCGAGAACCGCCGTTATTACATCACTCAGACTATTCGAGTTTTTACGCATACCATTCGGTCTGCGCAACGCGGCGCAGGCCTTTCAACGCTTCATCCACTCTGTCGTAGGTGAACTTGACTCCGTCAACCCGTACCTCGACCACATTCTTGTGGCTATTGCTTCGTAAGAGAAAATCGGAACACATCTACGACGCTTGTTCGAACGGCTGAAGGTGCACAAGGTCATCGTCAACCCCGACAAGTGCATTGTCATGCAGCCGCGCATTGACTTCCTTAGGCACCAACTTGATTCCTAGGGTATCCACCCTTTGCAGGACAGGTTGTAGACAATTCGGGACTATCCTGATTCAACGACTTCAGCCGCCATGAGACGCTTCAACAGCGTAGTCAAATACTAGCACCAATTCATGGCACGATGCGCCGTGCTTACGCAACAGCTCACCGATCTTCTGCTTGGACGCCACAACAATGAAGGTGCTCTTTCGCCTGAAGCACGAAAAGCATTCGAAGCTATCAAAGCAACACCCGCTTCCGCCGTCATGCTGCATCACTTTGACTTGAAAGCTTCGACCAGTGTAGCCGTCGACTCCTCGGAAAACTCAAGCGACGCAGTTCTGCAGCCGTTTTCCCAAGGTACTTGACAGTCACTAGCGTACTTCTCTTGACGTCTTCAGATAGCCGAGTCGAAATACAGCACCTTTGGCCTGAGTTACTCGCGGTATCTTCGGCCGTTCGCCCATTTCGTCACCTTCTTGAAGATGGTCAGTTTAGGATCTTTACAGATCACAATTCATGCGTCTACGCCTTCCCAAACCTTTCGCACCGACACTCTGTGTAAAGTTTGTCATCTAGATTTCGTGCCTCATTTTTGACGGACGTCCAACCCATCTCCGGCAAGGATAACGTCGTGGCGGACACGGTTTCAGGAGTAAACTCTCTGGCTCGGACCGATAATTCGCTCAACCTGTCAGATATCGCCACTGCTCAACAAGCTGAAAAAGTATTAATGTCATGCTGCGGAGAGTCCACGTTAAAATAGGCACCCAGACCGCTTCTTTGGTCTACAGATACAATAACCTGAGACGACGCTAACGGACATGCACCTTTATTGGTACTAACTGCCTTTCGCCGAAAAATCTTCGATACGCTGTACAACATCGCGCATCCTGGCATCCACGCTTCAGGCAACATGGCTGCCAACATATACGTCGGGCCCAACATGCAGCGCGACGTCAGGCTTTGGGCACGCAACTGTCTGTCTTGCCAACGAGAAAATGTTCCTCGACTTGTTGCCGCTGCTATAGGACGCTTCCCGGCACTGTCATCTAGATTCGCTCACATCCACCTCGGCATCGTTGGGCTACTTCCGCCGTCCATAGATATGGTTTACATTCTGCCCGTGGTGGATCTAGCCACTCCTTGGCCTGAAGTTGTTCCAAAGCTTGATGTCCCCGCTAAGACTATAACGCGCGCATTCTTTAAGTGCTGGGTCGCTTCACATGGCTGTACAGCCCTTGCAACTAGCGACCGTGGTCCAACATTCGAATAGTCGACTTTCAAGGACCTACCGAAAGTCCTCTGATGTCAAAGAATCTGGACAAATGCCTACCAACCTCAGGCACAAGGAATGGTGAAGCGCTTCCAGTGACAGCTTAAAGCCTTGTTAAGTGCCGCCAACGAACTTAGTTGGACAAAAGTTCTGCCAATGGTGCTACCCGGAATTCGATAAGCATTGAAAGCCGATCTCGAAACGTCCAGCGCCGAACTGGTATATGGACCAGCACTCCGATTACCAGGCGAGTTCTCTGAAATCCCGAACACGCCCCGCTACTGGCGCACTACGCTCAGTAGCCCGGTACGAGCATGAGCCGCAACAACTCAACCGCTGTACGGGAACAGCGTCGCAAGTCTAACATTCCCAAACATCTTCACCACTTCCTGTTTGTCTTCGTTCGCAATGACGGTCTACGCAGACCAGTCGATCGATCTTATGATGGTCCATTCAAACTTCTACAACGTAAGGAGCGCTGCTTCATTATCGATCGCAACGGCAAGCGCGAAACCGTCTCAATCCACTGCCTCAATTTGCTTACGTCGAACCAGAGTCGGACGACGACTCCAGTCGTTCGTTCTCCAGTGAATCGACCCAAGTAATGGAGGAGATGCCTGCAGACAGCAATACCACAAACGGAAACCTGCTTCTTGAGCAATTCCACTCCGCCACGCCTAAAGGGTTACTAGGTCTGGTCGTCGGGTTCACTGGCCGACACGTTTTCTAAAAAGTTAGGTTAACATTTGTGCTTCTAACAGCGTTCCCAGGTTATTATTCGCGGCAGTAACCTCGGAAAACAACAAAAACGAAAACTGTTTTGAAAACCCAAAAATAACGTAAAAGGTTTTGAAAACCAGATGACGACCGGAGAAAAAGTTTTGCGACCCGATGAAAAGGGTTGTTTCCTTGACTTTTCGCTGCCTTTTCGGTGAGTACTTGTACCGTCCATTGATGTCGCCTATTCTGCATGCTTGCCCTCCCCCGTTTCCTTCGCTCTTTTCAGGTTTCGAACTGGAGAACACTCACGCGTAGTTAAACACAAGTGATGGTATGCTACGGACGTTCTCCCCATTTCTTTCATCGGCACCGTAAGGGAGGAATCGGTGGGAGCCCGCTTGGGTCCGATCGCCTTGTTCTTCCCCAGCAGCGGCATCAGGTTTCACCTTCTGGTCTCGAAGAAGACT